ACCCACATCAAAACTTTTTTCGTGCCCTGTTTTAACTCGAGTTTGACGCAAAAGAAAACCTGAGAGCTTTCATTGTTTCCGTCTCATTTCGGCTGTCGACGAGCCGGTATTACGCGTGCGCGGCGCGGCAGTATTGCTCTAATAGTTGTTAACTATAATAAGATAGATATATATATATATTACATCAGTAGCTAATAATGACAAATTAGTCATTATTAGCTCCTGATTACATATAATTATATATATTGTTAAGTAGATGTTTTACACGCTGTTGATCCCGCACTGGTTTCGCAGGTGCAGGAGTCGTTGCAGCGGGTGACGGACGAGAGAGAGCAGTTGTCGGATCAGTACCAGAAGTATACGGAGCAGCTGAATCGGCAGCTGCACGAGGTGAAGCTGAGGCTGAGCAGTGTCACCGAGGAGCGCGACCAGTTCTGCAGCTGGAAGGAGGACCTCGTTGGACAAGTGGAGGAGCTCAGGACGCAGCTAGGTGCGTGTGTGCGTGCGTGCGTGTGAATGTGTGAAGCATGCATGTGTGCGTGCATGCGGTGAATGTGTATGTTAGCGGGTGCATGCGTGCGTGCGTGCGTGCGTGCGTGCGTGCGTGCGTTTGCGTGCGTTCGTGCGTGCGTGCGTGCGTGCGTGCGTGCGTGTGCGTGTGCGTGTGCGTGTGCGTGTGCGTGTGTTTGCGTGCGCGTGTGTGTGTTTGTGTGCATGTGTGCATGTCTGTGCGTGTGCACGTGTGTGTGTTAGCAAGAAAGACGAGAAAGAGAGGGCGAGAGGCAGAAGCAGAATACGACAAAGAGAGAGACCAAGATTGAAGACTGCTACATCGTGAATATTATTCGTATAGTGTTACGAGTCTAAGTACTACCAATAGTCTAAGTATTAGTGTAGTAACATCATATTGGAAAAAATTGTTACTTGCCTTGTCACACTTATACCTTAATCAGAGTCACATTCTCCACCTAGCTTTTGGTCCGTCATTTCGTTCTCGTTTCTATGCCCAGGTGCTTCTCAGATCACTTTGACAAGGTTACGTAGTTGATAACTTTCTTACCATAGATGTTCGGTTTGGAGTCGTATACAATTATCAACATTCTCACATGCGTACAAACCGTACGCTGGGGGGGGGGAGGGGGGTCAATGCCCGCCGTACGCTTTCAGCATTTCCGTAAAATGTCGATCCATTTCCCACGCCGCGCACCCCAGCCGGCATCGCGCGCATCCTCACGCCGCGACGCGCCGAGCTCCGGCCGGCCCGCTGAACGAACGAACCAAGCTAGCTAGCTAGCAACCGAGTGCAGTGTAAACAACCAACACGATGGCAGGCAATAGTTCTAGCTGCGCTGGTGACCTGGATCAATTGTTCCAGGGTTTGTATGTATTTCATATACATGTATCTCTAGAATAGTGTAAAAAAATCAACATTTTTCTGCGTACACTTTTAGGGGGGAAGTGGGGGTCTCGAAAAAGTGTACTCTTTGTTCACTTGTGAAAATGTTGATAATTGTGAACGACCCCTTATGGTATCGTTATGGTATCGTTTAACCCTAACCCTAACCCTTGTGTTTATAGCAAATAAGGAGCAGTATTCAACAGAGAGTCGGGTGGTGGGGGCAGAGTTCGCAGAGCTTCAAGATGAGGTGCAACGACTCACGGCAGAACTGGACACCACCTCTCGTCAATACCAATCTCAGGTGTGTTACCTGCTCACCCTAGCCTTAGGATTTGCAAACAAACGTGCATCTACAATGCGATGATGCTATGATGCGATCTCCATGTCAAAAACTATATGGTATAGAATGAATTTTTTGTCGAGGGAATGCTGTGCGTGTGTGTGTGCGGGTGCGTGCGTGCGTGCGTGTGTGCCTGCCTGTCTGTCTGTGCACGTGTGAATGTTTGTGTGTGTGCGTGCGTGCGTTGTGTGCGTGCATGCGTGCGTGTGTTGTGTGCGTGCATGCGTGCGTGTGTTGTGTGCGTCCATGCGTGCGTGTATGTGTGTATGTGTGTGCCTGTTGAAGGCCTCTAGACGCTCTGACGTCGCGCCGCTGCATGCAGCGTTTGACTCGTCGCTGATCTCTGGCAGGTTCACGACAACGCGCAGCTGAGCCGCATGCTGGAGCAGCGGCACGAGAAGCTGCAGAGTGCGGAGATGCAGCTCGAACGCTACGACCAGGACACCGAGACGAAGCGCAAGCTCCTCGAAGCCGTGCAGGTGTGTATAGCCGGCGCCCTCTACAGGCGTGTGTATAGCCGGCGCCCTCTACGGGCGTGTGTATAGCCGGCGCCCTCT